CCCCCGCGCGCACCGAAATGGGTGAGACAGAAGCGGAAGGAGGTTCTTAAAGAGACAGAGGCCAATTTCAAGGCATTTAGAAGATGGAGTGATGAGATGATAAGTTTATTTTATGCCTGAGAAACACATAATATTGCCCCTTTAATATGGATAAGACTAGATATGACTCTTGCTTTGGAAAATATACTGTAATTTCATAGAATAGAATAGAATGGAATAGAATAGAATAGAAACAGCCTTTATTGTCCCGTAGAGGGGAAATTCTGGTATAGCAGCAGAATTAAATATCGATGTAGATATATAAAAAGTTCTGTACAAGACTGTACTGTACTATACAAGACTATAACAGAAAAATACTTTGCAGTTTTAGAAACTGGCATGTCGGATTCACAATCCAAGGAGATGTGCAACTGAGTTAATTTTCAACAAAGCACATAAGTACTTACTAACATATCCTGCTAACCATTGGATACTATCCTCATGCATCCAGGTCAAAAAATCTAACAAGGTTGATTCAGTCCTCTGGACAGGTTACGTTTTGTCTTTTATCCAAAGGACTTCTTCAGTCTGAGGAGTTGTAGGTAAATTCACGTAGTGGATCAACCAGTTTGCCGGTGACAATCGAAACTGTTTGTTCACGTGCCAAAGAGGACCATGAACCTACCAACCAGTGATGGCTGCTTGTTGTTACCAGAGGACTGAGTCATACTTACATAAGACGGGGACAATTAGACATGAAGACCTCCACCCCAGTTTATCGATGGGTGGTTTTTCTTCACAAAAAATGGCTTCCTTTATTCTTTCAAAAAGTGATTCTAGAATCTCGTCCCTGAAAGAGTGACCGCTGGTCTGTAGATGAGAATAAACTGCAGAGTCCTGACCTGATGATGTTGCTTTTCTGTGCTGGGCCATCCTTTTGAGCAGTGGCTTCTTTGTTTCCCTGATGTATAACTGGTCACAGTCCTCCTGGCACTTAGCCTCATACACTGCATTACTCTTTTTGCGAAGTAAGTTATAGTCTAATCTAGATGGCTTGTCAGTGGAATGTGGAATGGAATCAGTGGTTTCCTCTCACAGACCAAAAACATGCGTGTCAAGTTGCCTTCAGGCCCAGGCCTGAAATTAGGTTAATAGGTGGAATATAATTGTATAGAGGCATTGATTTCAGTTTGATCAAGTGGTTCACCAAAACCTGTGTTGCTCTGTGTTGTAATTGTTTGATTGATACGCTGAACTATRTGTTGGTAAGCACATTTCCACACTTGAATCGGGTTCATTCGTTATTTTCAGGAGAAATTTGTCTTTATGTGACACGGATGTGTCCAACAAGAGTGTTGGCATATTTTCTGCTGCTGTTTGCTTTGGTTTGCTTTTCTCATGAAAGGTCCTGGATTGTTTAACCATTATTTAAAAAGCGTTACAGGTGGTTTGTGTTTACAGTAAGCTCAAGGAGAGTCTGGTGACGATCCTTTACAGCGTAATGAAATCATCTCTTCGTGCTGCTCTGCTGACTCAGCATCAGTTTGAGAATGTCAAATGGCAAACTTGGTTATGCTGGATAATTCTGTTACAAAATACTGCAGCAAGTAAAGTTTTGAATGCTTTAAAGTGTATTTCAACCTCACCTCAAGCCTCAACTGATTTGTCTTGCGCAAGTATGAGTTCATTCAAACTGTGCCAACTCACAACTAAGGTCATATCAACATAAAAATCAGAAAACCATGCTGATGAAACAATAAGAATAATGACTCAATCAGTTTGAACTTAGAAGTTAGAACTGCTGGATTATAAATCAGACAAAACCACTAGTATGCACCAAAGTAAGAATTCTGACTCTGACTTGAGCCAGAGACTCGTGAACTGTTCCAACCACAGAATAAAGATATGGCTGACTTGTGCATGAAAAGTTGTGAAACCCACTAAAAAACTTATCATTTTTATCAGTTTGTGTTTCAGTAAATCAGTTACAGTTTTGTACAACTGTAATAWGGAAATAAATCCATCTTTATCGTCTTGTATGGCTAACAGTAATTAGCCTGGTTATTGAACACAATAATTAGCAATTTCTGCTGTTTCTTGACTTGGAAATARAAGACAGTTAAGTCTGATTGGACTTCTGAGGTAAAAGGAATCCAGCATGAAAGGTTTTGTCCATACTAGTCTGGAATTGTTTTAAAATAGAGAGTTTTTACTGAATATTTACGTTTTTTATATTTTAATTACACATTAAAACATAYATGTTGCACAACTTCTATAACTTTGTGCTCTAAAAACCACAGCAGCAATGAGTCGTTATCACCCGAAAAGTGAAGGTAGATGATAATGGATAACAAAATTAGTGGATTAAAAAGGCTCACCAATCAATGAAAGGGTTATTTTTTAATTTAAAGCCAATTGAGGTGCAGTTAAAAAAAAGAAACATTGTGTTTTAAAAATATGTCCTTTATGTTGAAGCATAAGACAGTTTTGGTAAATTATTCATAGAAATAGTCAGACCGTATTGTAAACATGACAATATTTCGATCAGGCGGACTTRTATATCTTACAGTTTACATGTTACAAACCTCATCTGAAAGGATTATTCTCTGTGCCTCTGCCATGTTTGAGCTCATCAGATGAGCAATGACAGTGCATACAAGACAAAAATGATGATAAAGGGCTGTTTATTGTGTTTRTATCAGATTAGGCTCTGACTCAAGTTAAGATTACATCATTTCAAAATTAGATGGATTGAGATTATCTTAATCAATTCAAAGTGCTTCTTAAATCCATTTACTTAAAATCGTAAACACCTAAAGCTTCAATTTCTTTGATTGATTGAATCATTTCTTTCATTTAGTTATTTTTATTTAGGGACATTATAACAAAAAGCCAGCTATAGATATTTTCAACTTGCTAAAATATTTGCTGTTCCTATATTTTAAAACCTAGATCTCTTCTTTTTGAACTGGTTTAAATAAATAAATAAAACAAAACAAAATATGGAACCAGGACAGTTTTCTTTGTGTTTTAGGKCCWTTCAGCCTCACATCAACTCTTTATCTGTTCTTTATCTGTGATCAGCAGCTCACTATCTATTTATAGTTATAGTTAATCAAACCAGAAACAGTTCCTGTCAAACTTCCTCTCCTTTCATCATCATAAATACCTTTTTTTACCTCATGTGTGCAGTGAGGCATRGGAAGGCTAACATAGCCTGAAAATGTGTGTATTAATTGTGGGAAAATGGAAATACTTTGGTTTTAAACATCATGTCATCAGATCCCTGCAACATCAGAAGAGTGTAACAATTATTTTTGAGGAAAAATGTAATTCATCTAATAACTTTGCCTCTTTAAATTAAAGTCTTTTCCAATGTGTTGAGTTTTGATGGTAGATCTGTGTTTTTCTGTCCCTCCAGACCACCAGCAGTGGCAGCAGCAGGATGAGCTCAGATGGGGGCGGGCGGCCCATCAAAGTGGGTTCCCTGGTGGAGGTGATAGGGAAGGAGCAGTGCGGCACAGTGGCCTACATCGGGACCACGCTCTTCGCCTCAGGGAAATGGGTGGGAGTCATCCTGAGTGAGCCCAAGGGCAAGAATGATGGCACGGTGCAGGGCAAACGCTACTTCACCTGCGAAGAGAACCATGGGATCTTTGTGCGGCAGTCACAGGTAGGCCTGTCGCGATAGTCAATAAATCAA